CGTTATACGGGGTAAAACGGATTTATCTGGGTTTAGACCCCATTGGGAGTTGGGCATCTGAGTGCTAAAGACAAGCACACTTTTGTGAGCTATTTTCAGGTAAACTTGCAGCTTTGGGACAAGTGATTCAGACCCTGGGTCTGTGTTGGAGCAGATGGGAGTGTCTGGCTCAGCAAGACAGGGTGCTGGAGTCCTGAGCTGGCAGGGAAAACAGAAGCAGAGGTAGTCTTGGTACGTCAGGTGGCAGCTGCCAAGGGGGTTTCTGTAATCCAACCTGTCACAGGGAGTTTGGGGAGAAGGGTAGGGAGAAGGAAGGGAATTGAGAGCAGGATGCAGGGATGAGTGAGAGGCGAGGTGAAGGCTGGATTTAAGGAGGAATTGGGAGGAAGACTGAAGGAGCGGTAGGGAAGGTGCGCAGGAGGTCAAGGAGACTTCAGGAAAGGGAGGGAAACAGGGAACAAACGGAGGGTGAAAGAGGAGAGAAGACATGATGTGGGAGGGAAAATAAGAAAGTGAAGCGTGAGGACCAATCAGAATAGCTGTTTGAAAAGAAAGGAGAGCAGGAAAGAGATCAATGCAAGGGAAAAAACGCAGGATTCTACAGTAAACTGTGATCCAGGGAAAAGATACTGAAACGAGTGTAAGATCCAGCATACAAGGAAGGAAAGGGGCATGAAGGGAATGAAAAAATGAAGAGACAGAGGAGTGAAACCAGAGGTGTCATTTGATTTCTATATTTTGGGGGCCAGCTCCAGCCAGGCCAACAGGGCCAGGTGTGTGGGGGAAATTCCACACCTGCCCAAGGCTTGTAGTTTGGGGGGCAGCACCCCTCCTGCCCTTCCTCCCCCAAACTACACCCTTTGCTGTGAAACCAGGAAAGACATGGGGCGGTAAAAATAAATGGATTTGGAGAAAGACTGCAAAAAACAACATACAAACACTGTGTGAGCTATACTATGTGTGTATTCCCCCCCCAATCCCCTATTCATGATCCCACCTGACTGCTCTCATCCCATTGGCTTGCCCCTTTATCCCCAAATGCAACCCCCATTATGTGCCCCAAAACACAACTTTCATAGGTCTACCTGCTGTAACTACAAAAACAACAAGGAGTCTGGTGGCACCTTAAAGACTAACAGATTTATTTGGGCATAAGCTTTCGTGGGTAAAAACCTCACTTCTTCAGATGCATCACCCTGCTGTAACTAGAGTCCCTCTCCGCCTTGGGTTAGAGACCCAGAGGCAGCAGCTCAGAAGGTAATTGTAGTTTATAGCTAAGCCATGCTGTCTGAATCCCCTCCCCCCCCATTTCTCCTCCTCCTATTTTGTCTTTCCATTTCTTACCTGTTTTTCCCTTCCTCTATGGAGCAGGCAAGCTGTCTCTTCACAGGCTGCTGGGTAGGAAGATTAACACACCCTAACAGAGCAAGGGGCTTTATACTTGGGAGGAGTTAACTTTTCCCTTTCACAGTGTTTATCTCACTGCTCAGACATGTGCCCTGTGGGCTCCTGGTAGAGAGGACCGAAACAGTCGCTGGGAGTTTGGGCTCTGGAGGATCTGTCTTGTGAACCCTGAATCAAAAGCAAACCAGAAGCCTGGAGATAGGGGAAATGGGAGCATAGTTTGTCTACACTGGGAAATTGACGGGAATAATTTTTCCCCACGTACACAAATCCTTAGAGCCCATTGGCAAGGTACTCTCATGACTCCTCTCAGCTCTGGGACCTTCACGGATAAGCTTTTATTAATTTTAATACATTTTTAATTAAATTCAATAGATGAATAAAAAAGAGAACATTGGACTGGGAGTCCACCAAGGATCGTGTGTTGCCAGCTCTTGTGAGTCTCCCAATAGTTGATGCTTGACTTAAAGCTCCAGCTCCTGGAATCAAGTAATTACATGAGAAATCTCATTTTTCTGTTTGTTTAAAAGCAAGTTTCTTGCTCTCAGGGTTGCAGAGAAGCTGGAAAATGTGACCCAAATGTGCCCTCACGGCTTGAAAAAACAAAAGGCGAATACAAAGTACAAAAAGATTGTCTCATTTTTGGACTTTTGGGGTTGGCAATACTGAAATGAGAGTGTGAGCTCAGCTGGCACGGGTGGTTTGGACTCTAATTGACAGGTTCATTGTAGGTGTCTGGTAGTGACAGTTAAGCAACTCTAAGCAGTGAAAGAAATATATAGTTAACCCTCCCCTCTGCTCCCAACAACCAAACTTCAGCTCCATTGGACTTGAGCTCGAGTTACAATGTTTGGATCCATATTCAAATTTCCCTAGTGTGTAGCAATATTCATAACCATCCCTGCACCCAACACACTGTATTACAGCCTGGATCACCTAAGTTGTACCTATATTGCATAACATATACTCCCCCACATTCCTTACATACCAGCATACACAAACCCTCCTAACTTTTGAGGCAGTGATCTGCTGCGGCTTGTATGTAAGGCTAGAATCCAGGAAGCTCCTGAGTGCTAATCTCTGCTCTGCCACAGATGTGCTGTGATGCCTTGAATATGTTATATGACCATTGTCTCCTCTGAGAAGTGCTGAAAACACTGATCTACCTCCCAGGGGTGTTGAGAGGCTTCATTAGTTAATATTGTCAGGTGCTCTGGAGTGGCTCATGCGTGGGTACCAACCTCAGGGCAGACTGTTACAAATCAGACCCCATCCCCCGCTCATTCCATCCCCTCTTCCTCTGTCACTTGATCTCCCCACCCTCACTCACTCATTTTCACGGGTCTAGCTCAGGGGGTTGGGACGCAAGAGGGAGTGAGGGGTCTGGCTAGGGGTGTGGGCTCTGGGGCAGGGCCAGGGATGAGGGATTTGGGGTGCAGGAGGGGGCTCCAGGCTGGGGCTGGGGGGTTTGGAGTACGGGAGGGGGCTCTAGGCTGGGGCAGAGGCGCTGGGTCGGGGGGGAAGTGAAGGCTTTGACTGTGGGTGAGGGCTCTGGGATGG